GATCTAAGTGAAGTACAAAGTGCAAAGCCCAAACTCTGTTGGCTAGTTTTGTTGAAAAGCTCCTCGCAAATACTTTCCAAATATAGCCTGTCTCCTCATAGTATCTAGACTTCTTCATACAGTAATTGCTTAGATCTGACACCTTAGTTAATTTTTGTTAGACTGTGTAGCATAACACATTTATTCTTGAGGCAAATGTTTGTGTCTCTCTGTTTGATAAAAAATATCGTTTGATTCCTGTTATTATTAGCAAAAACATTTTTTTTCATTGAAGTCATTTATAGGATCATGAAGTTTTCAAAACAGAAGTATGATTTACAGTAATATAAAAGCCATTGGTGTGTGATATATTGTGTATGTGTTATATTTTTTAGACATATTGGACATGCAATCATCACGTATGACTGCTCCGATACTTGAGTTATTTCATATTACATGTACTGAAGAAATAGATCTGACAAATTTATTTATTAAAAATTATTACACATACTTAAATGTATTTTTAAATTTAACAAATTTATCAGTTAAATTTAAGAAAGTACATGTTACAGTACATGTTTTGTTATATTCTAAAAAAAAAAAAAAAAATTGTTGACCTTTTTTTTTAAGTATTTCTTCATTGTTTAGAATAATTATGATTTAGAAAGCATTAGACATGCTGAAACTAAACTTGGATTAAGTATTGATTTTGTATTTATCTAAGTGTATACTTTAATTTATGTAGACAGTTGGGTTTGGCAATTTTTATGCTTTTGGTAATTATTGCATATAGGCCTATAGCAATATTAGACATTTAATGTGTAGCATATTTATTCTTTATTATACATTAGCTGTCTGTCATTATTTTATTAGGTAAATTAATGTTGAGGTTTAAATTGTAGAAAATTATGCTTTCATATTCTTCTGTGTGCAAAAAAGATCTTATATTTTACTGCAAACATCAAATCTTTTCTGTTTCTAATCTTGTTTCAATGCAATTAAAACTTGCAGTATAAATCAATACAAGCTGAAAATGTTAAGCTTTGGGACTACCTTTTTGTTGGAATTTTTTTTACTTGTTTATGCAGTCTAGTCTCTCACTTCTTTGCTCATCAGTTCTTATGTTTGTGTTTATGTTTTCTTGTCAAATTAAATATTATCACATGATCACAGTGTTCTACTTTTGTGTCACAATCTTTTTAGGATATAACAAAGACTGCAGAGTCATAGTTCCAGAACTGTGAAATCCCTGACTTAGATACCAATTAGTCAAACATTTACTTAATTAACAATTAAGGACCAACTGATTCTGATGATCATCATCGTTACAATTCAGGGATGGGAGAGGGCTAAAATACCGCCTTAGCCTAGCTGCTGTCCATCCACATTCAGTGTGTATTACTTCCATAGAGATAAAAAAAAATTGACATGATTTGTCAGACATAACATCAGTAAATATGAATTGGGGATAAAACAAAGCTGTTTAAAAAGCTTATACATTTCCAATACATGCTGCTGAAGTTGATAACAAGAAAATTCTTCCCTCTCCAGGATCTCTATTCTTTTCCAGTACCGGTGTATTAGATTTACTGCTTAGAAATTTACCAGTACTGCATGTAGCTGCAACTTTCAGAAAAAAAGACTCTTGGAACAGACATGAACAAGCAAGACATTTCATCTGACAACTTTCCCTCTGATTTGAAAATAATAATTTTTTGTGTATTCTACTTTAATAAATTTTCTATTCATTTGATAAACTATTTTATCCCATGTTTACCCCTTTATCCAAGTGGATATCACTCATTGGATATTTTTTCCCTATACCACTGCTGTGACTTCACAATGGGTTTTGAGTGTAAGTGACATATTGACGAAGTAAAATAAAGTGGATTCCTACATAAAAGCAGTGAAAAAAATTGATAGTAATGTATAAAACATGGGATAAAAAGAACATCCCATAATTTGTAGCTGGATATGTTTTATATCCAACTCGTGTGCACAACTTGTTGGACAAAAATCATATCCAACTACAAATCATGGGTGATCCTACATGTCTTATTGTTCAAATTTATATACCAGAGTGTTGCACAACCACATATGCCAAATGAACATGCAAGCATCTGTTTATAGTGTGCAGTCAATGGTGTCCAATCTATTTTTGAGGCAATCCATCATTCTTTGTGTTATTGCAGTATGATCATTTGTCAGTATGGCCAAGTGCTGTTATACAAACGATGATATGAAAAATAATTCAATGCTTAAATTTACATTCTCTGACTCATTTTCTCTCTTTAAAAATTTAATTTTCATTTGTCTTTTATTTAATAAATGACCACAGTTTTCATATGAAATAAAGGAGATGATATTCAGTGGATATAAATATAAATTAAGTGCCTTTCAGAACTGGTTTTGGTAATAGACAAAAGAGCCGAATATTGCAAGGAAGAAAAATGACACATATTATTTTAAATGCAAAATTGTTATAATTTAACAAGAATTATGTGGGTAATTATTTTGAATTTAATTGAGCAAAAGCAATATATATCATGGTATTCCTAATTATTGAAAATTATGTATTCCTGGGTCATGACAAGGTTTAGAGTACGTTCATATAGGCGATTGAACGTTTTAGATTTCCAATTGATTTCAATGAAGAAAAATACATGAACATCTTTAAGTATATGTATATTATATATTTATATTTATCCCATGATTACCCCTTTATCCCGTGGATATGACTCATTGGATAAATTTTTCATAAACCACAGTTGTGACGTCACAATGGTTTTTGCGTTAGCGCGATGAAGTAAAATAAAGTGGAGTCCTATATAAAACAGTGTAAAACATTGGTTGTGAAGTATTAAACATGGGATAAAAAGAATCTCCCATGATTTGTAGTTGGATATGACTTTTATCCAACTCGTGTGTTTTTATCCCCTCGCCAAGGCTTGGGGATAAAAAACACACAACTCGTTGGATAAAAATCATATCCAACTACAAATCATGGGAGATCCTATATATATGTTCATTACATCTAGGGTTCTACTGCGTAGAAAGAAGATGGGT